GAGTTCAATCAAGAAGGCCGCACGTTTGAGGCAGGTGCCGACCACCTCTGGACGGCAATCGAGAAACCCGACGGTGTGAACGCGGCGCTGGAAATCTACTCGATCAACATGACATCGACTGAGTGTGATAAGGATGACAACTGCTATTTCTACATCGAGTCGGATATCGACGAGCAGAACCTCACGGTCTGGAACGACTACATTACGCCCCGTGGGTTCGAGAACGTTTCGTTTTATTATCGAGCAGCAATGGTGCAGGGTTGGAACAAGTTTTGTTTTCAAGGAGGTTTGGTCGTTGTACGAGCACAGCTGCCCGGTGTCGTGGACAAAGACTCTGGCAATCCCGACCTCATCAACGCCACAAAAACTTCTCGAGCGGAGAGTATTGATTACTATCCTACCTGGCCTGGCATTTGGATGTTCGGAAATTTGGGGCGAGCCATCTTCACGGGCTCAACAGCTCGTTTTTGGCCGTTCTCGTACAATGAATGCAACGATACCGTCTTTGACTCCCAAAACCAGCGCATCAGTGCATGTGACCCCAATCCAGGCTCAGGCATGAACCCTTACCAAGGTCGTGGAGCGCCTGAAATCGATATCCTGGAGGGTGGCGGTACCGAAATCTCCTCATCCATGCAAATCGGGCCTGGAATGCCTGACGACTTCCGAAAGTTTTACGAAAAGGTCAATCCGTCGTGTATTTACGGATATGGTTCCTGTACGACCCCCGGCGCCAACAGTGTTGATGTCCCCACAGCGTTGTACAAAAAGAACCGTGGATATAAATCATGGTACCAAGGAATGCGATACGGAGCCAACAATCTGTGTGCTTCGAGAAGTGATGAGATCCAAACGCTGGCAAAAATTAATGCCTCGCTAAGTAAGGGCATCACGGAAAATGCATGCACGATTGAGACCTGCCCAGCGTCATTTGACGTGCATGCGGAGCTTGGCTTCATGGACAACAAAACGGATCACTGGGGAATTAACTCCAATGGCACCTGCTTTCCAAAGATCAATGGATACACTGGTGCCTACGTGTGCAATGCAGGAAACACCGACTCCAAGTGCGCGGAGTCAGGAGGTTCCACCAGCGCGGCGTCTTCTTTTATGTATCAACTGGACGCACTCTCTGCAAACTGGGGCATCCACCTCGCCGCATACACAGACTGGGTCACATACTCCGTCGAGTGGGTCCCTGGTGACGACGGCTACGTCCGTTGGGAAGTTGAAGGCCACCCCGTGTTCGAAATCGCTGCAGCTACCGTGACCAATCCACCTCAAGATGCTGCGCAAATGAACCCCAGGAAGATCATGATCGAAGAGCCCATGTATTTAATTTTTAACGTCGCGCTTTCGAGTGAGTGGGGGTCCAAGCCCCCCAATGCTGGCGTCTCTGGATGCTACGGCGATGGAAAGGATAAGAAAACCAACACTATCTGCGATGCCTTCCCGATGAAAATGAAGATTGATTACATTCGGGTTTACCAAGATACCTCAACGATGGTCTATGGCTGTGACCCAGCGTCACATCCGACGAAGCAGTGGATTGAAGACAACATCGACAGCTATCAGGATTTTGATAATCTGGTTGTAAGAGTGTCCGGTAAAGCATCATGCAACTCCGATGACGATTGCACCATTGCATCCAAAGGTG